ACCTCTATCTTCCCCGCCGATTTCTCTTTACTCCCCGCTTCTCTTCTATACTTTCCTGGGCTCTTCGTACGCAACATCTGGGCCGGAACCGGCCCACCCTCTCCTCCTCCTCCGATCGCATCGGCGGAAGTGTATACGCAATAAATCGAATCCGTGCTACAAATTGCTCGTTACCACTCGCCCTCCAAATGGTCGATTAGATGTTTTTTTGCACGGACACACACATGGACCGGGGGAAATTTTTGACGCAGGATGAAAAAGAGGAAGGATTTGTTCTTTTTTCGGGGAGAGGGAGAGATCGCGTGGAGAGTTTCGCTTATAGTTTGGTGGGTTTTTTGCGGAGTAGAGAAAGGTTGGAACGTCTTTTCGTTTTTTCGGGGTGTTTTTTTTTTTTGTGGAGATGTTGCAGCCTGGTTTTTGCAAGGTGCGGCAGGGAGCAACTGGTGAACGTGTGTCGAGGTGTGAAGTTGGGTGACTCGTGTTTTTGGGGTGAATTTGTAAATTCGTTGAATTTAAGCGTGAAATGTAGTGTTGTAATTCAAGGTGAGATTTTTAAATTTGTGTTCAATGGGAGTGCGTTAGCAGTGCTGTTTTATGCAATTTTTAATTTTAGTTAAAAGTAGCAACATTTTCAAGATTTTCCAGGTGGTTCATTTTTTTGGGGTGAATTTGTAAATTTGATAAATTGGAGCATGAAATGTAATCTTGTAATTAAAGATTACTATTTTTAAACTTATCTTTAATACAAATATGCAACAAATGCTGCTTTATACAATTTTAAATTTCAATTAAAGACAGTAACTTTTTTAAGATTTTCTAATTTAAGAAAAATAGATGTAATATTACGCTATCGTTTGACAGATTTTTTTTTACATATTCGCAGAGGATCGATTTATATTTCGAATTAATTTTCTTATTATTTCCTCGTTTCCTTCGATTCTTAATATACATGCAGAATACTTTACCCCGAATAGAAGAAGAGGACCGGCTTGTTTGCTTTTATATTTTCGTAATTTCAGTGAATTACTTGAAGAATATAATAATTCCAGAGAACAATATCGAAAGAGTACGGTGGGTGCGACGGAACTCCCCATTTCGCCTTTTCCAATTTCTGGAGTGTCAATTTTGCAACACATGGCCCTTGCGTTATCGCGATGGAAGATTACACTTTCTTCCCTGTTTTTCGTTCCCCCCTTTTTTCACTGTATCCTTAGACAATTCTTTGAGATAGTTTGATCAAATTGTTTGCTTACTCGCTACATGTAGGTTAACATAGTAACATAAAAATGTGAATTATTACAACATAATCGCCATAGATTTTTAAAAATTTCATCAAGAAAAATATAGAAATTTTGATATTTCATGAATTCATTCTACACACAGTTTCATTCTTCGTCATAAATAAATCATTATTTATTCGTTCAATTTAGATTTTATTATTACATTAAATCCAATACCCAAGTTTTGAAAAATTCCAAATTTTGTGTACTTTATTCTTCTTCATTATTCTTTATCGTTAATGAAACTAAAATTTCATTATTATTTTACAAAACTTCAACGTTATCGTTGTATAAAGTTCGGTATCTGAATTTTAGAAAATTCCACGTTTTGTGTCCCGATAAAATAAACAAACTCTCTAAAAATAATTTGTTTATTCAGTGAAACGTATTTTTGTAGATAAATTTAATATGTAAATAACGCCAGTTCGCCGATTCTTCTATACGCTTAATATCCACGATGAAAACAAATGAAAATTTTTAATATCGAACGAAAAATATCTGCCACTTGCAAATTATTATACTTAACAAGAACTATCCCATAATGTATACCGAATTAAGTAAGAAAATTAATGAAATTCCGTTCACATTTAATTGCCCCGGCAATTTACATGTGGCTCTCGTGGAAACAAAAATTTTCCGAGATACGAAGGAACAGAATCGTAAAGAAATTTTAATATAACGAGGTGCAGGGCACGCCGCGAGGGGAGGGGGAATGTAAAAACTGAAGTATTTTTATGAAACCGCAGCACAAATTTAATATCGCTTGTAAGCAGTTGCACGGAGATGCCCTGCACAGATTAGTGTTAGTAGTGTACATGTCGATACATGTATAAATTGAATCCACTATAGGAATTCCTCGTCAAAGAGAGGAATTCTTGCTTCCTCTTTTTCCGCCAATACCGCCTCCTATGTACTGTGACGTCGAGCGTGAAAATGCTCCACTCTACAACCCTGTTTCAGTTTCTATCACGGAGTTATGCATGTGAAACAAAAAAAAAAAAAATGCCTTCCGATGTCACTTAAATTGTCCTGTTAACTACCAGCTAAATTGTTGTTACGATACGTACGAACAGTTTTTATTTACGTTCGCGACAAATATTCCCTAAATGGATAAATGTGTATCTTGTATTAACACGTGTGTGTTTTACCTTCCGTAAAATTTATTTTTTTTTTTTGAAAATTGTTTATACGAATGTAAAATTAAACGACCTGTGAAATTTTGTACTTTTCTAACAAGTTTATGCAGGAGTCATTTTTATGTCGATCAGCTGGTTTTTATTATTCTTGGACGAATTATACTGTGTTTAAGAGATTTTGTAAATGATATGAAAGTCTTGTACTTTTGTAGAGTTTTTTAGAAATAAATTTTGTGTTATTTACTGCAGAAAGTTATTATTAATTAAGTAAATTATTCTATAAATTCGTATATACGTGCATTTAGCGAATGGAAATACATAATTCACCCAATGTAAACGTACGCTTCGACGTCTGACCATACGTGGTCTTATACTACTAGCTCTGAGCAAGATACACTGTCTCCCCTTTTAACTTTACTCTGAATTTAAAGTTGCAATGAAGCAATTGATAGATAAAAATTTATTGTAAATATGTCAGTATGGTGCAAACATTTATTGTAAACATATTAGTGTGGAATTTTAAACAAATTAGAGATACATAGAAAAGATGGAATTTGTAGACCAAATTATTTTACTTATCTCAGCATTTAGAGATAGAACTTGCGAACAAAATTATTCTAAATTGAATGATACAATAAATATACCATAGTAATGTTTACTACCATAGTCAAATAAAAAGATCAACAATAAGACAAAAATAGTTTCACACAATAAAATTCGAAATAATTATTAATATATCCATTGCAAGATAAAAAACATGAACAATAAGGCAAACATGTTGTTTAAAATAATTTTCCACGACTATTGATCTAAATTTTACAATTTAATATTTCCAACGAATCTCAAAATTTGATAAAAAGGAAACATAAGCTCCTTCTCGTTCCACCACTTTTTTCTATTTTTTCTTAGTAAGACCATTATGTCGTCCCTATAGTATTTCCTTAGGTTTTCATTAAAATATTTTTCGCCCTCAACGTGAACTTATACGATAACCTAATACATTAATTCTCCAAACTCACTCTAAACCAGTTGTTTTTTAGAAAAAGCAAAACTTTACTAAACGCGCATCCTCCATTAACGATCTCCTCTTAATTAAAAATCAAATACAACGAAACATAAAAGGAGACGCTAAATCAATATCCAATCCTTCTCTGCGCAGATATGGATCTACCAAAGCACTCGAAGAAACACGGAGACCGGAGAGGAGACGATGACACGAACGAAGCGATCGGTGATCGAGACCACAGACTGAATCACGTGTACCAGGGTTCTTTACGAGAAGCAGGTTCCACCCTGGAACCATTTCTCGACGGCGACGACGCATCTTCGTCCACAAACCACATTCTACCATCCGCCTGCTGTATCCTCCTGATAGCATTCTGCCAACTGTTCGCTTTGACGTAAAGAAAGAAAGAAAAGGAAAGAGAGAAAAAGACGTTATTTAAGACACGTGGAAGGAAGAGAGAGAGAAAAAAGAATCATGCGTTTAATTGAACGACGACGATCGATCGTTATTTTTCTCGTGTCGATTTGTACCGCGAACTATCTGTGCTACGTTCAATAATCGACAGAGGAGAAACGAATGTTCGTTTCTCTTTTTTCCCCGGAGAAATTAGTTGAAAAAATATGTTCCGTGTTGATAAATCTCATCGTTGCAATCTTTCGATCGCTCCATCGATGATACTCTACTGGATCTAGCTGACGAATTAGCGATCAGAGAGCGTTCTTTCTCGGTTTGCTGAATTCATTCGGTAAGTAACATCTCACGATGATTTCTGTTCTTTTTTTTTTCTTAATTTTGTGTAATATAGTTCGAAAACAACTCGACGATTTTTCGTTAAATTTTCATTGAATAATTCGACTCGACAAATTTGCGTTTTTTGACAATTTATCGCGAGCTATTTGTCAGAAACTTTAATATTTCGCGACGTTATAACGTGAATAATAGAAAATCGTTACTTCTCTATTTTGTTTTATTTTTTTTTTTTAACCGATCCATGATTCACGAATAGGATCAAATGAAATCATTAAACATTCTTCGACATCATTTCGAGCAAATTTGTTAGACACTTCTTCTATACAACTTATACAAAAATTTTGATATTTCACTTCTGTTCATTCGCCGTTTTTCTACGACTTTTCACAACGTGTTTGTCTAGTTTGAAAGTAACAACTACCGTGTAAAGAAGTTTAGCAGAGTTAGAAGAATTTTATACGAAACTCCGCGATCTACGGTGTTCTACGACTGATGAAAACGTCGTGCATCTGTTCGCTGAAAATTCGGAGATTTCGTGTGCTGGACCAAAGTGTACATTATTCCAATTTATCCGGTAACTTATTGATTCGCGTTATTAGATACTCCGCTTTCTACGAGCGTACAATTAACTCGTGAAACGACCAACAATTAACGTCCACATTTTCTATCCGAGAATTTGCAACGTCACTTTACATTCGAACTGATCTATTCGCTACGAAGAAGTTTCTAATTACTTCATTTATACGTTGAAAACATCGAGTGAAATTAACTTCTTGCCGCCTCTTTTCGCGTTAATTTTCCGTTGCCAGAAAAAAGCTCGGTTGAACAACAAAACACGCAAATATTTAATTAACACGTTTTCGTTGAAAAATATTCGAATTTTTTTCTTTGTCGAATGGAGAAAAAAATATGTCGCCTCCTGTGAATTGGAAAAAGAAAGAAGAAAAATGTACGAGTCGAATGTTGGAATTTAATAAATAACACGGTTTGTTAAACAACGTCTGTTGAAAATACGCGCGATCGCTTAGGGAACGATAAATTAAAATTCGTTTCGTCGCCGAGGCAGGCATTTTTATCTCTCCAATTAAGAAGACACGTCTCGTTAGAGCAATTTCACCATCCACCTGTTACTCTGTAATCTACTTGACCTATGTGTAAGTCCACACTTTAATGTAGCACCACTTGCACGATCTTTCAACAAAAGAACCAGACTAGGGGAGTATTTTAAAGTGGTTTTAGAAATACGTGCCGATGTGTTAGGTAGTTAACTATACAGTAACTGACTGTGAAAACTAAACTACTTGAACGACGGAATGAATGTATTTTTTTATAATTGAATCTGACTTTTTGAAAAAGCACTCCCTGTTTCTTTCCGTGAAATTTTCAAACGTTGAACAAACTTCAAAATTGCATTTATCAGGAATAATAAAGTAAAGTTATTCTAATTTTTATCACATTGCGCCACATGTTTTGATAAGACAAATTTTTAACCATTTTTTAGTTTCTGGTATTGCGAAATAATATTTTATCTCATTCGCTTAAACTTTTTAATTATTTCTTTACTCTGAAATTCTAATTCGATCTTCCGCGAAAATAATAGACCTGAGTATGTTTACATTTGCGATAAGAAGTTAGTATTAGGGCTCTTACTGCTGCTCAGATTTACGGATATCCGAGTATTGGGTATTCGAGTAGTCTGATAGCTAGACAATTTGGATTCGAATATCGGGATATTCGCGTAATTTGGATCCGGATTTCCGGATACATTCGAATGAGAGTTTGAGGCTTTCAAGGCCCGGTTCGTTACAGTTTGCAGCGTTTGAGGCTTTCGAGTGTGAGTCGGATCCAGGAGGATGGGTTTGCCAAGGTTTCGCAAGCATTCTGAGGACGCAGCGATGTCAAGATCTTCACTCTTTTTAAGTTACTTAAAGAAAAAGAGAAAAACGAAAATGAAAGAGAGAAATAGTGTGTGTTACTTCAAAAATGTGATCATTTTGACGCATATGAGTATCGGTACGCCCTCAGACTCCTGATGAGAAGCTGCAATGCTTGTGAAATGTTGACAAACTTATCCTCCTGGACAAGGTTTACACCTAAAAGCCTCAAACGGTGCAAACTGAACGCATCCGTATTATCCTTGCGATGTGTCTATCGAATACTAAATATCAGTGTCGAACAATCTCCTGTACATACTAATTTTCGTATTCTTCAATCTTAATCCTTCACCTAAACTTCCTTTCTTCAATATAAATTCACATAAGGAAAGTTTCAGATTTTTGAGTAATTAACCCCTTAATGTATGGCAACGTGTCAAACTCGTGGCAGAGATTCTGGCGAAGATGTGAGAAAAATAGTTGTATTAGCAATAAAAATTAATAGTAATCCTAATTTTCGTTTAAATTTGTACGACTGAGAATTGCTAAATGTAACTAATCCGCGACAGATTAGTTTTTGTTACCTGATATATGTAGTACTGAAACAGAAAATGGCTGACGCTTAGATGCATAGTCGGAAAAGAAATCATAGGTTAAGGGGTTAACAAAGAAAATTCAAATCCGGATACTCAAATTCACTCAAACTCACAGGATAGTAAGAGCTCTAGTTAGTATTCTTCAAAAAAAAATTCTAAAATAGATCTTATTACACCGAAATTGTGTGACTCGCGTATAACAATCCAGAAGACACGTTATCAAGTAGAATACCGAGGCAAAACAGCGACGAGAGGCAAAAAATGAAAGGCGATTTTCCGCTTCTCCGATTTTCCTCAACATTCTCCGGGAATTAATCTCTCCTCTCCGTGGATAATAAAAGGGAGCAAAGGTCGTGATAATCGTTTCATCGAGCGCGTCCGATTTCGTCGCGAGGCGACGACGACGAAAACGACGACTAGGACGACGAGGAGAAGAAGAAAAGCAGATCGAGGATGAAACCGACGGGTCGCGATCTCTTGTTTATTCAGATCGCGGAACGAGTCGATCCCGGGCGTTTATAACGCGATAAACCCGTCTCGATTTTGCGATTGCAACGGCTAAGAGGAGTGAGGGGGGACCTGACTGACTGACTGGGGTATTATCGTATCGGAGCTGTGGGGCGACGAACGTAAAATTAATATTCTAACGAATATCGGAGAAACGTAGCGGCGGAACGAAGATCTCGTCGTCGCGGATCTCGTCATGTCGAACAGCTCCACCGTGCGATTGTCCGTTCTAGGCTTAACGAGATATCTCGTTAGCACTGCATGTTCGTCTGCGGTCTCTATCTCTCTTCGACAACGGGGGTCCGTCGAATTGTCCGATCTGTTGCGATGATAGAATTATTAAATCCTGGACTCGAGCTTTTTTTCCACCATCTATTTTACCTTCTGCCTCCTCTCTCTCTCTCTCTCTCTCTCTCTTTCTCTCATCTCGATGATTTTCCGGCATCTAGTTTAGTTTTTGCTACTCTCCCCCATCTCTCTTTTTCTTTCTTCTCCCGATTTCTTTCCACCATCTGGTAGAACTGCTTCTCTCCCCCTTTCTCTCGTGTCGATTTTTTTTGCACCATCTAGTCTAACTTCTGCTCCTCTCTCTCTCGTTTTCTTTCATCTCGATTTTTTTCTGCCACCTAGTTTAGCTTCTACTCCTCTGTCTCACTATCTCTCCCTCTCCCTTCCACTTTCTTGCTCCCTCTCTCTCGATACACCTCTCTCCCCCTTCTTTCTCTCTCTCTCTCTCATCTCGATTTTTTTCCACCATCTATTTTAGCTTCTGCTCTTCTCCTTGTATTCTCTCTCTTTCTCTCGTCCCGATTTTTTCCACCATCTATTTTACCTTTTGCTCCTCTCCCTCCTCTCTCACTCTATCTCACCCTTCCTCTTTCTCTCCATTTCCCTCTCTCGATTCATCCCCCCCTCTCTCTCTCTTTCTCTCGTCTCGATTTTTTCCACCATTTATTTTAGCTTTTACACCTCTCCTCCTCCTCTGTTGCTCTCCCTTTCTCCTCTCTCTCTCTTCTCTGTCTCTCATCTTGATTTTTTTTCCACCATCTATTTTAGCTTTTGCACTTCTCTCTCCCTCTCTCCCTTCCTCTTCCTCCCTCTTTCGCACTCTCTTTCTCTCCTTCTTTCTCTCTCGATTCATCTCTCCCCTCCCTCCCTCTCTCTCTCGTCTCGATATTTTTCCTCCATCTATTCTAGCTTTAGCACCTCTCCTCCTCTTCCTCCTCCTCTCTCTCTCTCTCTTTTGCTCTCTCTGATGTCGATTTTTTGCCACCATCTATTTTACCTTTGCTCCTCTCCCTCCTCTCTCTCTCTCTCATTTTCTCTGATTCTTGTTAGCAAGTCGGTCTCGTTCTAGCGCAGTTGTACACGAAAGGTATAGATGCAAAAAGACAAAGAAGAAAAATGAAATGCAGTCTGTTTCCCAGCGATCCGCCGACATGGAGCATTATTATGATCGTTGATGAGGATATCAGGCAACCGAGATAAATAGACGGTCGGGAGTGAAATCTAGTTACGCGAATGCTGCTCATCACCGTGCATAAAGAAATAAGCGCGAGTCTCGTCGGTCGTTTGATTAAAACGAATCAATGCGAGAGAGCCGTGAACGTGGTCGAAACGCGGAGGACGTTTAATAATTTGTTGTTCGACAGCTTCTTAATGGAGCGTTCT